TGGGCTGATCTAATTCATTTCTGACAGCAAGGAAGTTAGTGCATTGTAAAATGATAAACTGCTTCTACTGTCAAAGGCTCCATATTATACATACAACATGTTCACTCACAATTAGTGTGAGGGACAAACTTCTGTGATGCCACAAAATATCTTTATTGTTGTATTGACATATGTCTAACCATTCGTGCAGTAACATGAGCAATGTTATTTCTTGGGGCTAGCAGCTTTCCTATGGAAAGAATGGCTTCCAGCTATTGGGAATATTTGCTCAAGAATCTGCTAATTCAGGTGTCATGCAAACCAGAGAGGAACAGAATGTGAGGATTAGCTCTTTCTAACTAATGCTAGTTACCTCTCTAATGTGTGCATTTCTCATGATCCTATCATGGTAGCTTACAAGTACCATGTAGCCAATTTAATAGTTACAATATGGTCACCTGAGAGGACCAACATCTCTCACTGTGTTGCCTACATCACTTTCTTGAGCAGAGTTATTCTCAGCAGAAATATAGCTATGCTAGCCATTCTGCAGCAATTGTTCCTGAAGGAAAGTTGATTTCCTCACACTATCCAAGTACTTATATGGCCTTCATCACAATACTATTTGAGCACCTGATGAGTCTTACAAAAGGGCTCAGCCTGAGCTCATCCTAACTTATCCACTATAGGTCAGAATAAGTATGTAGAAAAACACCCTTAATGGTAAATACATACATAAATGTACTTATTGGATGGGTAACAAAGAGGCAAATATTAAACGACATTTAATCTATGTATCTGTTTTCTCCTTTATTTAGTGATGCAGGCAGCCTACCAGGTCAAACCTCCTAATCTGCTTTTAGTTCGTTCTTTAACATAATTTTTCTATTAGTTTAGCAGATTTTGTCTCTCAACAACCAGGGTAACAAAAGTATTCCACTCAAGAAGTGATAATGGCAGCTTTGCGCAATCATATCAAAAACAACCAAAGACAAAACCAAGCAACGATTTTGCTACATCCCCTGAAACTGGATGAAAGAGGGATTTGAGCGCAAAGCGTGTGGAACCTGGAAACTAAACAAATGAGATGGTTTCAGCTGAGTTCTACTTATGGGTTTGGGGTTTGCCAATAGCTGACAAGAGAGACAAAGTTCAGCTCTAGATCACAAAGGTCTACAAAAGCCAGTGGGGTTCTGAGGCAGGGTTTTGTTTCAGGCCCATCTCTTTTCTGAAACGAAAAGCAAAAAAACTCAAGCAAAAAAACCCACACACAAAACGAACACCACGAAGGGCTTCAAATCCCAAGAGTGTCATCCAGCATTAGAGCTACCTTCGGATACCTTTACTGAAGTTGAGTAGAACTTCACTCTGCGAGTAGAGTCATTGAAGAAAAAAGGGACTTTCTGCTGAGTAAGATATTACATAGTTTGAGTGAGGGTATCAGAATCTGGCCCTTACTAAATGTGCAGACCAAACACATGTAATCTGTGTTGCATCTCTTTGTAGAAGGGCATAGCAGATATTCTTGATCTGGCGTAGCTGTATTTGTTGGCTGCTGTCACAGTGGGAACGTTATGAGCAATGAGTGCTAGTAGCTTCTAAGTGATTTCTGGACAGAAAACACTCTCTCTTTTTTTCCCCCTCAAGGTAATCCTAGTCATTAAGATTTCTTCAGAGATAATTAAGGTTGCTCCCCAGCCTAATGAAATTCAGAAATTCTACATTGGCCATTCAGGCCCGGGATGAATTTACTAAGCAGTCAGTAGGACTGCTTTAACAGGATTGTCAGTGGGAATTCAGGAACTGGGTTAGGAAATATTAACGAGGCATGAAAACAGCAGTTTTTAAGCAATTGGCACCACCTTTGAAATACATTAGAGTACAGCAGGTTAAATAAAGAGACAATTTTGGCGAGAAGATTGGCATATTTTTGTTTTCTAGCACAGAACGCAGCTAAGATAGCTGAGTATGTTTCTGATGTGTATCTGTTGTCATATTTCCTCTCTGTCCAGTCATCAGATCTACACCAATAATCTGATCAAACAGATATAGGTTAGACCTGGTTTCTCAACATATTTATTTTTCCTTTTTTCAAATTAATACCCAATGGGTTCGATCCTCAGCTGACACAAATCCACAGCTCAATGGTGTTACATCAATTTACACCAGCTGAGAATCTGCCCCAGTGTATATAAAATTCTGAAATGTTTCCCATCTGAAATATTCCCCATCTGAGGCAACTTTTAGAAGTCAGGAGACTTCACAGAACATGCATAAAATGAAGCCTATTTCTGCTGCCCTCATATATGTACAGAAAGGTGTGCCCATTGAGACAACAGCTTTAAAGAATTCAGCGTATCTTTATCACATCCTCCCCCCCGCCCTCATCCTCAACTTTTCTGCTCCTCTGTCAGTCCTGCCTTGGTCTGAAAACTGAAGGTTGTGCACTAAAATTTTGAAAGAAAGAAAGATTCTTTTGAGTGTGTTAGGATATAGATATTCAGGCCTGTCTGTAAAGGCCCATACTCTAAGAATTTAGATGTATTCTTATCACTTGGCTAGTTCTAGAGGTATAAAAGAAAGAATCAAAATTACTGTCTGTCGGTGTAAGGTCCTTCTCTTACTGTGACAGTCTGAGGCCCTGTTCTTAGGCTAAGGCCTTTGGCTAAGCAACAGAGGCAGCCATAAACTGGGAAAAGCTGTAGCTCACGAAAGCTTATGCTCAAATAAATTGGTTAGTCTCTAAGGTGCCACAAGTACTCCTTTTCTTTTTGCGAATACAGACTAACACGGCTGTTACTCTGAAAGCTCTCTACCAAATGATGTTTCCCCAGCACTCCTACCTTACTTCTTGTAAGAAAACCACTCTGTTTCCCCATCATTCCATACTCCAAATAAAGACTCAGAGCAAAAGGGCTGACCCTGAGGCTGGGATTAACATGCACGATCAGTTGTTTAAAAGTCCTCATGGTCAGCTGGGCTGATAGGGAATGGACAAGGTCAGGCTATAAATCTGCCTGGAGTCCAAAAAGTGAGGCAGCTGCTTTTTTTTTTTTAACAATAAGAAACCCCAACGAAATCTTTAACTAGTTGGCTAATAAACCAGGGAGGTCTTGTCATTACAGTCACATGGTTAGAACATGAAGGATTACAAAATGTGACTCTGGTTATGTTTGTGAGTTAGTTTGGTAATAACATGATTTAGTCAGTAGATGGTGCTGCTATTTTCCAGCCCTCTCCATTGATGTAACAGCCCTCTGTGTATATCATTCAGTTCATAAACTGTACTTTTGCACTTATCTGGCTTTGCAGGAAAACTGTCTCCAGCCACACAAGCAGCAACTCTTCTCCATTTACCTCAGTTAACTTCGGTGCTAATTTCAAAGTCTACTTCACAGAATCTCAAAAAGTAACAGATGTTCTAAGTCAGTGGCTCTCAACCAGGGGTCCGGGGCCCCCTGTGGTGCCACGAGCAGGTTCCAGGGGGGTCCGCCAAGCAGGGCTGGCATTAGACTTGTTGGGGCCAAAGGCAGAAAGCCAAAGCCCCACCACATGGGGCTGAAGCCCAGTGACCCAAGGCCCACCACCCAGGGCTGAAGCTGAAGCCTGAGCAATTTAGCTTCATAGCATCCCCTGTGTCATGGGGCCCTGGGCAACTGCCCCGCTGGCTTGCCTGAATGCTGGCCCTAGCTCTTATATGCAGAAGAATGGTAGTTGTGGGCCATGGAGTTTTTAATAGCATGTTGGGGGGGAGGGGGCGCAGAAGGAAAAAAGGTTGAGAACCCCTGTTCTAGGTCATTGAGGCCTTCCCTCTGCCTGTGCAGGGTACAATCCTCCGTCAGAGGACATAAGGCACATTAAACAGGATCCTATGTTGGTTATAAGCCAAAAGGCAAAGAAGACAATATTCAACTATCACTGGTTTTCCACACCGTAGTCAGACACACAACTGACATAAGCACCCTGTTTGGAAAATTCTCTTACATCCACCCTCACACATTTTCTTTTTTTCAGGCTAGCTTCTCTGTCCTTTTATCCACAACAGGATATTCTTGTCCAGGTTACAATGGAAGAATGAGGAATAACAAGCCTGTGAAGATCCAATAATCTCCCTTTCATTATTAGTAATATTGCAGTGCAGTAATTTACCCCCCAGTCAAGAAGACAGGCAAGTGTCAATTCATTTAATTAGAGTTTTGCATGCACAAAACCTAGCACTATTATTTCATCAGTTCTCATTATCTAAAGCATGGAGATCTCCAAGAAACACTTAGTTGCTGCGGGAAATGGTGTTAATGAGTCAGAGAAGAAGGCATTTTTCTCTTGCGTCAGTGCACCAGCACAGTGTTAGAGGATACTGTGTTACTGGAGGTGCTGTCTTTCACATGAGAGGTAAAACCAGGGTCCTGCTCAGCTGCAATTAAAAATCTCATGGAACTATTCATAACAGAGATTAGCAGTATTTAACACATCCTCACCAAATTCTTATCTGCCTTCCTATATGTCCTCTGCAACTTCAGAAGTAAATAATATTCTTCTTACTGTCGTATCCTAAATATTTCATACTGTTGCTGTGTGCTGTTAAGGAGTTGCAGTGTCTACCCCAAAGGTGGCTGAATTTCAGTGTGGAGTGAAGTTAGACCTATACATTGTGGGCCAGATTTTCAAAGGGATTTTAGGTGCCTAAAGATACAGATAGGAGCCTAGTAGGATTTTCAAAAGCACCTAAGTGAGTTAGGTGCTTAACTTCTGACTTTCAATGTGAGTTAAGCTTAGATGCTTTTGTAAATCCCATTAGATGCTATCTGCATCTTTAGGTGCCTAAATCTCTTGCAAATCTGGACCGTTGCACCTTACTTTGCTCACAATAGTGTTTAGAGCTCAAAGCACGACATGAGTGTTATGGAGTGAGTTTCTTGATCCTGAAATCATACAGTAAAACAAAAAAAGTGTCTGACAGCTTAATGTTGTTTGTCAGGTAATTAGTGATGAAGAACTGAAGTTTTCATTCATATAAATACCTCAGATTTTTGGTTGCTTATTCATACTTCTTGATTTCTTACAAAGCTTTCCTGGAATAAGAATAGGTCGTCTTATTAGATTTTTAGGTCTTCCTTCTTCTGACTGAAGTGGAAATATCACAAGAACAGCCTCTCACATTATGTTGGCCCGGCTATTTCCAGTCACAGCTGATACCTGGAAGCAGAAATTTATAGCAAAATGAAAAATAATGGAAATAAAAGTTAACTAAAATGTTTTTGAAGTTCTAAAAATCAGTCAGTTCAGTTTCAGCTCAAGTTTAGGTGATGGTTCACTTTGATTCTTATTTTATCCAAACCTGTTTGCCCATATAATTTGTTCAGTGCAACCCATGTGTGTCTTCTAAGATACAGTAAAAAGAAAAGGAGTACTTGTGGCACCTTTGAGACTAACCAATTTATTTGAGCATAAGCTTTCGTGAGCTACAGCTCACTTCATCGGATGCATACTGTGGAAAGTGTAGAAGATCTTATTATACACATAAAGCATGAAAAATACCTCCTCCCACCCCACTCTCCTGCTGGTAATAGCTTATCTAAAGTGATCACTCTCCTTACAATGTGTATGATAATCGAGTTGGGCCATTTCCAGCACAAATCCAGGTTCTCTCACCCCCACCCCCCCCAAACACACACACACAAACCCACTCTCCTGCTGGTAATAGCTTATCTAAAGTGACCACTCTCCTTACAATGTGTATGATAATCAAGGTGGGCCATTTCCAGCACAAATCCAGGGTTTAACAAGAACGTCTGAGGGGGGGTAAGAAAAAAGAGGGGGAAATAGGTTACCTTGCATAATGACTGAGCCGCTCCCAGTCTCTATTCAAGCCTAAGTTAATTGTATCCAAGTTGCAAATGAATTCCAATTCAACGGTTTCTCGCTGGAGTCTGGTTTTGAAGTTTTTTTGTTGTAATATAGCAACTTTCATGTCTGTAATCACGTGACCTGAGAGATTGAAGTGTTCTCCGACTGGTTTATGAATGTTATAATTCTTGACATCTGATTTGTGTCCATTTATTCTTTTACGTAGAGACTGTCCAGTTTGACCAATGTACATGGCAGAGGGGCATTGCTGGCACATGATGGCATATATCACATTGGTGGATGTGCAGGTGAACAAGCCTCTGATAGTGTGGCTGATGTTATTAGGCCCTGCGATCGTGTCCCCTGAATAGATATGTAGGCACAGTTGGCAACGGGCTTTGTTGCAAGGATAGGTTCCTAGGTTAGTGGTTCTGTTGTGTGGTATGTGGTTGCTGGTGAGTATTTGCTTCAGGTTGCAGAGGAACAGCCGTGTTAGTCTGTATTCGCAAAAAGAAAAGGAGTACTTGTGGCACCTTAGAGACTAACCAATTTATTTGAGCATGAGCTTTCGTGAGCTACAGCTCACTTCATCAGATGTATACCGTGGAAACTGTAGGCAAGGACTGGCCTGTCTCCCAAGATTTGAGAGAGTGATGGGTCATCCTTCAGGATCCTTGTAGATCCTTAATAATGCATTGGAGGGGTTTTAGTTGGGGGCTGAAGGTGATGGCTAGTGGCGTTCTGTTATTTTCTTCACTTTAGATAAGCTATTACCAGCAGGAGAGTGGGTTTGTGTGTGTGGGGGCGGTGGGGGGTGAGAAAACCTGGATTTGTGCTGGAAATGGCCCAACTTGTTTATCATACACATTGTAAGGAGAGTGATCACTTTAGATAAGCTATTACCAGCAGGAGAGTGGGGTGGGAGGAGGTATTTTTTCATGCTTTATGTGTATAAAAAGATCTTCTACACTTTCCACAGTATGCATCCGATGAAGTGAGCTGTAGCTCACGAAAGCTTATGCTCAAATAAATTGGTTAGTCTCTAAGGTGCCACAAGTACTCCTTTTCTTTTTGCGAATACACACTAACACGGCTGTTACTCTGAAATCTAAGATACAGTGTGGAACATTCTAAGGAAGCCTTACAAAATCATCTTTAAATGCACCAAGCCAGTCTCAAAATCTGCTCACACACTTTTATTACCACAATGATGATGAAGAAAAACTAAATTATGTGATATTTAACTTGCCCATTCTCTCCCAACCCCACAAAAAACCTCCTGTAGTTAATCAAGCAAGTAAAATTTTTCAGGATTGCGCTAAGGTACATAAAATAATACCACTGTATTTGTTCCACTTCATCCACGCTGTAAGGAGGTAAAATTGGATCTCAGCAGTAAATTAAGCAATATTTATGACATTTTCAACATCAAAGTCTGGTATATAAAACACAAAGGATTAAGAGGTCATGCTGATGGCCAGAAAGATTACACTATGACTTAGATCGTGTAAACTAACAGATTCCATAATGGTAATGTACCCTTTAAATAGCCCCCTAGCAACAAACATGAATAGGAAAGCAGATTTATTCCCTGGGATTAAAATAGGGATTTTGAATCATGTGTTTTTTAGGGTATAGTGGACACATCTGGAAGAAAAAAAAAATCTCACCTTGTCACTAAGAGTGTTGGCATTCCCTAGCATTTGTATTGAACAAAGCTTATGAAGTATTATCTTGAAAGATAATACATTTTCTCATTTTTGGTTTTGTGAAAGTTGCAAAAATAATCCTTTTTTTGTAAAGGGAAAAATTAAAGGTCCAAGTACTTACTGAACTGGAAAAGAAAGAAGGGTTCTGAGTTACTATATTCCAGAATAATAGTGTGGATGGATTGAAAAGATAATTCTTGAGGGGAAAAAAAAGAAAATAATTCTCCACTTTTGATAACATTTTTCCAAGTTCTTTCCTGTTAAGCTTCTATTTGAAGCTGTTCCACAAAAAGCTAACATGCATCATTGTTACCATAATATTCGAGAGAGAGCGAGCACCATTCTCAAAGTGATTGCTTTACTGTCATAGCAACGTGCAATCAATCCCCCACCTTTCATCATTATGTACAGAGTAGCTCGACTAATAGTTCATTGTTCTGTTCAAATATTGGCACAGACATATAGAAAATGCCAGCAACAACACAGTCTAAATACCCAGGGGCATAAAGGTGTGGATTTTAACCAAAATATACATGAAAGGAATATAATTTTGTATTTAAAAACAAACCAAAACCTGTTCACATATCAAACACACAGACCATAATCCCATCAATTACATGATTGTTCTCTTTTATGGCACAGGTTAAAAGAATTCGACGTCATGCCTACCAATTCGTGTTTAAAGAAGTTTAAATTATACCCTCTCCCTGTGCCTTTTTGTGGGTATCTGCTTTATCTATCTGCCTGCTAACACTCCAGGTAGTGTTCAAATTCCATTTCCAGCAGTGCCCAAAGAACACTGCAGTGAACCACAGGTATACAATGACATTTTTAGGAACTGCTATACTGAACGTTAAACAAATGCATACCAGAAGTTCAGCATTGGTGCCAGACCCAGTGACTCAGTGGGATTATACTCATGGAAATAGCCACATTTCTTTTCCACTGATTTTTAAAAGGTTTTCCTCTCTTTAAGGAGTGCCTTAATAATAGCTGGGGAAAGGCCATAACAGGTTGGGAGATGGCTAACAGTCTGAGGCTAGTAATGGAAAATTACAAGATCTGCTGATTCCCTGTTAAAATGTTTCATGGTCTTTCAAGGCCATTTCATTTGCCTTTTTGAAGTAGTGATGCTTCAGGAGAAGAGCTTGCAATGCACTCTGGTATCAAACGAGTCAACGCAATCTGAGGCTAATTCACAGAGGCTTCATATTACTGGGCCAGGAGAACATAGTCCTTCTCTCCCTCTACAACTCTTATGAGTGTGTGTTTAGAAATGTCATTCAGTTCTGGACACCTGAATACCAGAAAGATGTTGACAAATTGCAGGGAAAATATCAGAGAACAAAACCAAAATGATCAAGGGGGCTGGAAGAATTGGTTTCTGGGAATAAGATTTAAAAAGCTGAATATGTAGATAAAAAGACTATGAAGCACACAGGAAGAGCCTGAAGAATAGCTTCAAAGCATTACAAGGAGGTACTAATTAGGAGTAAGGGAATGACATTATCCAAAGGTACACTTGGGCTTAATATCAGGAAAAAATTCCTAGTAGTGAAACGTATTTGACCATGGAATATTCTTTGCTAAGGAAAGTAGTGGCCACTCCATCATTAGAGCGCTTTAAATTGAAACTAGACAAAGAACTGAATGCTGAGGTTATAACAATAATGATAGTTAGGCACACAGCGTTTTTCCATTTGTAGATCTCAATGTGCTTTACTACTGCTGCTGCTGCTGCTAATAGTAGATGACTGTTTTACTACCCCAGTTTCTAGACTGATGGGAGAAATCCACCATGGACAGGAGGATGGACTAGTTGCTGCCCCTCATTTTATGATTCTGTTGTGGTTTCTTTATAATTTACAGATTGCACATTGTCAAAAGTGACTCCAGATAAAGGAATGTTATAATCGTTCTAATGTTACTCAACACACCAAAGCAGTACGGAAACGCAAAGAAACTTGTAGCAGAAGTTTGATTGTTCTGCTTCCTCCTCTGCTCATCTAACTCCAGCTTCTTGTGTTTTCTGGATGTTTCGAGCACAGTATGAAAAGCAAAAGTGAAAAATGTCAGCATTAGGACCTGGATGTGAAAGACCATAAATTGGATTAAACTTCAATAAAGCTTAATGAAAAGCGGTGTTCACAGAGAGAAAACTCATTATTATTCTGATTTTCATTATGTAGTTCAACAATGCAAATAATTAAAGAATCTAAAGGAGAGACAAGCAGTTGTAATCCTTAAATATAGGCCTAGTACTATGGTTCCCATTATCAAACAAGGGCCACTCAGGACCATACAAATCCCAAAGTCATAATACAAATATAGGTTTCAGAGTAGCAGCCGTGTTAGTCTGTACCCACAAAAAGAACGGGAGGACTTGTGACACCTTAAAGACTATACTTAGTCTCATTCTACTGACTTCCTGATCAGGAAAGAGCTATTGACTGCACAATGGTGAGGGAGATCAAATAGGCAACAGTAATATGTGCCTGCAACTGCCAGCACATAAACTGGGAAAACGTAATACTGGGACAATGATTCAAGAAAATTTCTTTGCACATTAACAAATTGCTTCCTAGACCACTTAGTTTCAGAGCACACAGGAACAGAGGCTATTCATGACATAATCTTGAG